AACAGCCGCCACTATGACCCCCCAGCTTTTGCCCCCCCCTGCACCACACCCACCCAGGCCCATGCCGCCTCCCTCCCTCCCCATTGCTTCCCCCTCCTTGCCAGCTATTGTCGGGGCCCCCTCCTCGCTGCCCAGGCCTGACAACAGCCACCACTGGACCCCCCCCCTCCACCTGCCCCCACCCTACTCCCCTCCTTTCCTCACCTCCACCTCCCTGCTGGCTGTTCTGGGGGGCATTGGAGATTGGTGGCAGGAGGGCATCGGCACCGTGATCCCCCCCTTCACCCTCAGGCAGGGAGGCATGGGGTAGCCCCACTGCTTGGGTGGCTAGGGCACGTTTGCCGCTACCACAAACTTCCCTGGCAACGGCTCAAACTTGGGCCAGAGTAATCTGGGCCCACGCAGCCAATCACCGCCCTCCCTCTTGGTGATGCATGTGCATTTGGCCAAAAGTGTTACGTATAGGCAGACACACAGACAGACAGACTAAGCCCTTTATTATGTTAGAATACTTCCAAGTCTTGGTCATTGATGGGTTGTTACAAAACTAAATGATTAATGCTACAAGCTGCATTCCAAAGCGAATGTCCCCCCATATATATGTCCCACAAAAGCCCTACTTGTCATATCCATACTCATAAATATCAAGATACATGGCTAACAGGGGTTGTAATGGACTATAGGCTTTGAATCTCTCAGTGTTCAATACCATCTGAGGAGATGCTCATTTTGGTAAATTTGTGGCAAAATGTTGGTTGGAAGGGGAGTGATATTACACACTGTCAGCCTAGCATAGTGCAAGCAACTCCTGAAAATTATTGTAAGCCTTGTAATATTTATTGTGTTTCACAAAAACTTATCTGCTCTTTTCCCAAATTTATTGTGATTTTTAAAGTTAGTTTCCTGTCCTTGTGATTTTGCAGATTTGAGTATTAGTCTATAAACCCCTGATGGTATAAGTCAGCATATCAATAAAAAGAAACACTGTTTGTGTTGTTAAATCTCTTCTTCTTAACTAATCTCTTGATTTTCTAGAATCTGACAGGCTTGAGCTCATTGGATGTTAGAATTACTGAATGGACTGCTACAAATAAGCCTCTCTGATTTGTAAGCAGCTTCTGTACTCTTTTTATTTCTTTTTCCATGGAAGTTGTTGTAGGAAAAGATTTTTAAAGGCAGCAGAAGGATTTAAGTGCCAAGTTCCCTTAAAAGATCAATGGGAGCTGGTATCTAATAGACTTTTGGCAGTATCTCCTGAATCTTATTTCATTTATAGAGCATGTAATTTGAAGAGATCAGCCATCCCTCACTTAGCTAGCCAGTGTCAGGGGGCAATCCTAATTCCTTTTAAGACACTTAGAGAGGCTATTTCCCCATGCAGATGATCAAGGTCCCATTTGTATCAACTCTGAGTTACTGGACTAAAAGGGAAGAGTCTATGATCCCTGAGAGTGCACCAGTGCCCCCATAATAGAAATAGGGAGGGCAGCCACTTGGCATTATCATCAACCAGATCTTTTTCCAGGATGTAAGAACAGGTGTCTCAGGTTCAGTGTTTGGTGTGTGCTCCAGTTTCTGACCCAGGGCATTTAGAAATTTTGCTTCCTGCCCCCACCCCCCGCAGGACTCAGATAGGGATGAACTTCTGAGAAATACTAATTTGAACTGGCTTTAAGAAGGGCAATAATTGACCAAATCTTATTTCTCCTTCACCTATGTGGCATTTGTGTAGCCACCTAAGTAGATTTTGGTGCACTTATTTAGCTCCTCTCCTCTATGTCCATCATGAAAGAATGGAATTGGCTAGGAACAAACATATCTTTCAAAAGAACTTTGGACGGGTGGACGGCAAAGTTATCACCCAAAATCCTCATGGTTTTCACACTTACCCAGGGAGATGATGTCTCCGATTCTATGCACTTCCCAGCAAAGTGCTCTAACCATCCAATGGTGGGCAGGGTCTGGTTACTGTTCTCTTGAAGGTGACCCAGTGAGCAATCAGGAGAGAAAGATAGATGAGGCCAGGATGAGTAGACTGAGTCAGACAGAGGTTGGCTTAGTGAGATGGATGTTGTCCTGAAAGGGACTGGGGCAATAGTTTTAGGCCCCCGTATCTTTCCCTCTTGGGTGTCTAGTGCATTAGTTTCAACATAAGGAAATGGAGGATGCTCTGGGCAATGCTTATACACTGAGCAGAGGGCAAACCTGGGCCTGATCTGCCCAGAGCCTTCCTAGTGTGCAGGAAACTTCCCCACTCTCCTTGAAGATACTGAGGAAGATGCAGGCAGCAGCCACAAAGCTGGAAAAGTTCCTCAGCCTGATCTCAACCCCAGGTCAGCACAACCCCTGCCATCCAGTTCTTTTATGTCCCATCTAACCAAATCCCGATTCATTAACATATGAGACTTTTCTTATTTTCAATTTATTTTTAAAATTCTTTTCTATTTCTTTCTCTTTATCTTTCATTGAGCTTAAGTGGCTGATTCCCTGGATTTCAGCACATCCCCAAACTCCACTGCCTTTCTACTTTCAGCTCCATCTGTTTCTAAAGTAATTCATCTTTCTATACCCAAACTCTTGCAAAATGGTTACATCTGGCAACTCACAGATGTACAGGTCAGAAATGGCATTAAGCCTTCACATGCAATTGCTCAGAGAATGTTCTAATATTAACACCATCGTTGAACTGGGATGCGGATTGGGATTTGTTCGGGGGCCCAGACTTGGGGGGCAGGGGGGAGTGGGGGTGTGGATTTGTACCAGCTTCGCTTCACCTCCTGATCCAACTGGCTCCTGCTGGCAGAGGAGGGTGGGTGGGAATTGGCCCCTGGCTGAGCAATGTTCCCCACTCCCCTCCTTAGGATAAAGGCTGTTAGAAACGCATCTTGGAGTAAGCCCTTAGGTTTGGCTGGGCTTCTGATATTACAAATGCCAGGCTGCAGAGACTAGACAGCAAGACACCTGAACTGGATAGAATCACAAAAGCCCAAGGCAATGCCAAAACAGTACAGAGGCGAGACCTACATCTCTTGCCCTTGTTGCATCACTTTCCACATGCTGGACAGTGCATGGGCTTGTGGCTACCTCCACAGTCCATGCAACATGCTGTGATATCTCCAGGCAACTCACCTTGCTTCTGATGATATGCTTTGCATTGAAGCAATTTGTATTGCTGATGCCCAGCATGATTTGTTCTATTTTAAGACAGCAAATTCTCCAAGGCTAGGGACAGAAATTACATATAAACCAGTATAAGTGATTGGAAACTGGTTTAAATCTGTAACACAATAGAAGTTCATTGCACATTAAGCACTTTCAATATGGCTGAAACCAAGTCTAAGATAAATCTGGATGGATACAGTATCAGGCATAACTTATTTATGTTCTGTCCCAGATCCCATCCAGATTCAAGTTAAGTCAGTCCCCCAGCATCCCAGAGTGCTTTTCACTCCCCCCCTGACACACACCCTTGCATGGTGGGCAGGCTAACTTTGGCCCAAGCTGTCTGCTCCAGCCAAACAGGGAAACATGCTCTAGTACCTCACAGCTTCTGGCCTGGGCTACTGCAGACATGTGACTGCATTTCTGGAACCAAAAGTGAATGTCTGTTCACTTGCTTATCAGTTCAGTCTATGCAGCTTAGACTAACCTGAAAAAAGTGAATCGATTCAGCCTCAGGCATTTTGACTGTCTTGAAAGACCTAAGTTTAGATCAGGAGTGGACTTTGCAGATGTTCACCCATAGGGGCAGGAGGCACACAGGTAGCCTGACCTTGCAGAATCCCAAAAATGGGGGGTTGCTGGAGATTGAGAAGTGCAGCCAATTACCTGGGCCAACCTGATTGGCTGCCCCACTTGGGGAACCATGCCCACAAAACCCACCCCCTCACAGTGGCCTTTCCCTCTCACCCTGACCAGAAGCTGTGAGAAGAGATCTGGAGCCACTGTCCTCTCTTGTTAATTGCAAATGCATCAATTTCCCTGCCTTCCCACAGCCTGCAATAATGCCCCACCACTCATACCTAACCCCACAGATTCAGGAGCTGTTATGTGTCCTCCTTATTGCCCTGAATGAGTCTCAGCAGAGGCCAGGAGAATCACAAATGCCAGTCTGGAGATGGCCCAGCAGATGATTGTGATTGCAATGACTTTCATGCACATAAGCCAACAGCTGGGTGTTAAGATACCTTATTGTCATGAAGCATCATGGCCTGGGCCAACAACTTCCATGTAACTAATGAGCAAGAGGCCATTCAGGATGCCACAGAGTCAGGGGTGCTCTGGCACTAGCTCCAGACCATTGAGCACTGGTTCTGGGCCCATACCACCAGCAGTGGCTTGTGGGAGTGGATCATCTGGGTTCTTGGCCTGACAAACAGTGGCTTGAAAAATTCTGGATGTGCCAGGCCAACTTCATGGACACTGTCCACCATGCGGCCCCACAAACTGAGCACTAGGGCATCAGATTTAGATGATCCCTTGTTCCAGAGAAGCAGGTGGCCATTGCCATCTTAAAGCTGGCCAATCCCAATAGCCTCTGCTCTATTACCAAGCAGTTTGGTCTGAACAAGTCCATGGCCAGAGCAACTATGTGGGAAGTGTTTCAGGCCATCCAGAATGTCCTGGCCAACCACTTCATCTGCCTCATCAACCTAAAGGAGGTTGTCACCAGGTTGCCATATGTGCTTCTCCAAGTGCATGGGGGCCATGGACAACCCTGTACCTGCCCAAAGGTTCCTAGGAGTTCATCAATCACAGGTGCTCAATGACACCATCCTGCAGGGTGTCATTGAGCACCAGGATTGTTTCACCCACATCTTTCCAGGATGAGTGGGCAGCACCTACGATGAGGAATGGGTGCTATACACCCAAGGTCCCCAGTGTCGATGTTGGCGGTATCCTCATCCCACCCCTCATCATCAGTCTCAGCCTAACCACACCTGCCTGGATTCATGAAGCCCATACCCAGAACAGCTGAACCACAGAAAGTAGCATATCAAGTATTGCCTGAGTAGGTGCCATATGACATTAGCATGTTCCTTTGGGTACCTCGTCCTGGAATTGCTTTGTGGGGTCTGTGTTCAGGGTGTGAATTCCATGGTAGAATGGGGTACCATATGCTCAGGGCCTTGGTTGCCGCAGTCCCACTCCATTCACTAACCCTTACCTAGTGGAGCTGGCATCACCAGGGGCCTTTCTGTTTACCTGGTCCTCAGCTCTCTAGAAGCTGCACCTCACTCCTCCTGTCCCAGATATACACCCCGCTCAAAACATGGCACTACCCTGTTCCCACTCAAAACATGGCAGGGGCCAGTTTCCCCCATGCTGCTTCCCAGGGCCCCACCTGTGGACCCCTGTTCTGCTTGCTCTTGGGAAGAATCCCTAGAGCTAGACATGACATGCCATTGCAACTGGGTGGCAAACCCTCCCACCATACCATACCTCAAGTAACAATTTGGAGAGCTCTAAAAGCTGCCTGTAGACCCACCTTTGATTCACTGTCAAACCAGCAGCAGTGGGACTGGAGAAGTATCTCTGGTATTTGCAGGAGGCGAGGATTCATTTGGGAGATACTTTGTTTGGACCCAATGCATTGTTGGGATAAAGTTACACAAGCTTTCGAATATAAAGCATTCTGCAACATCTTCTTTGCAATGTCTTCCCTGCTCTTGCTTTACAGTCATGAAATTGCATAAACTCACAGGATAGAAATGTTAACATTACCTTCATGTGCAAGGCTCCAGGGAATGAGTCCTGGGAAGTCCTTAGAGATCATATGTAGAATTTTTATTTTTTCCGGCACAGCAGCTTTTTATTGTCTGTGACTCCTGGATAAAGCTACTTATGGTCATCTGCAGACAGGAAGGTGTCAGAGTGTATTTATTTCTGTTCAGCCTCAGTAAGAATGAGAAAAGAGTTCTTAGATTTTGTGTTTTTGCCATCAAAGAAGTTAGATAGGCAGGGAGATCAGTAAATATATAGTGTTCTTTGGTGGCCAGTAATATCTTGAAGTTGGAGAGAATCACAGAAAAAAATTGGAGAAACCAACAAACAGCCCAACACAGTAAGTTTGTGCTATTTGGTGAATTTTAAGAGGAAGAGAGTTCTAGTTCCTGCTGTGTGTGGGCTCTATCATGTGTCTCATTTTCAGCATGTTAAAAAAGTATAGTTTAAGAGTGATTAAAAAACATGATTGAAAAGAATAATTGTATAACATGCTTATATTTCCACAATAAGAAAATTAATATATTTGCAATGATTGCAGTGGAGCTGTTATCAGTTTGTACATTAAAACATCAAGTTAGAATCTTCAAAGAAGCCTAAAGATTCAAGTGCACAGCAGTTATGGAATCTCCATATGGAGAACTTTTGATTCCCTTGACTCTTCTGCAAAGCCAAACCATCTAAATTTAAATATTTTTAAAGAAAATGTGAAGAAACACATGAGCAGCAAGAAAATAAGCAAATTAAGTTAAAAAAAAATCCCCACAAAATTGGTCAAACTCGAGTAGTGGTCTGGAGTGGGGGTTATGTTCTGCTGTTCTTGTTGTGCAGGTTCTTTTTTTCAAGGGGTTGTTTGTTCATTTTGTTTTTGCTGTAGTAGCTCCCAGTATATGCCAATATACAGAATTGAACTATGCTCCATTAAATGAAATTATTTGATGCACATTGCATATGCTTTACATAAAATGTATGATTTATGCACACAAATGCATATATACATATATACCTATATGCCATCAACATATTATATAATATATATTCATATTATCAAATATACTGTAATTATATATACAAAAGCTTTTCAACCCAGTTGCCCAGCATTGTATCACATAAAGACAACTCTATCATGGTTTCATATACACAATACTACTCCCCCTATTGAAACCAGGTCCAGTCCCAGTGCCTAACTGAAGACTTAATCAACTTGTGAATCATGATATGCTGCATTTCAAATCCACCTCAAATTCAGACACTTATGCTCAATAGTGGTTAGTGCTTATGCAGAGTGTATGAAAAGAGTTTAAAAATGGGGAAATAAGAAAGAAAACCAAAAACAACACAAAACAGAATGAAATAAGTTTGTAACATTTGAGAAATTAATCTCCTCTGAAGTTATAGATTTACTTTTTTCATTTTACTGAAAAAAATATTATTTCATGTCTCATTTCTTAATGAAAATGTGATGTTTGGCTGACATTCATTGACTGCGCTTATCTGTATCCTACTGATTTGACTTACCTTCACTTTGCTTTCTATTTTCATGTTTTGACATTGCTCCCATGCTTATCTTTATATTTGTACCTCAGTGGAATCCAGTAATTGCACTATGACAGTCCCCCTACAGTGTTATGAACCTCATAGTTCCAGTGATTCTACCATTAAGACAACCTTCAGTGGAGGGCCATGCTATTGACCCCACTTTGGTGTCAGGAAATTGACACAAGTTATTTCTAAAAGTTCCCAATGTAGAATTGCAAAAAAGATGGATGGCAAAAACCTCAAGAAGTCATTTAATCCACCCTGCATGAGCCAAAGATCTTTTAGAGCAGAAAGAATGTCTGCTTTCATTTTCTTTTAGTCCTTGTAGTTCTCTCCCTGACTATTCTTGCTTTTCTCTCCACAGAGTGAATCAAAGACAAGGAATGACCAACCAGAGCATTGTTACTGAGTTCTTACTCCTTGGGTTCTTTGATACTTGGGAGCTGCAGATGTTGCACTTTGTGGTGTTTCTAGTGATCTGTCTGGCAGCCCTGTTAGGGAATCTCCTCATTATAATGGTGGTAGCCCTTGACCAGCATCTTCATACTCCCATGTACTTCTTCCTACTCAACTTGTCCTTCCTGGACCTCTGCTACATCTCCACCATGGTCCCCAAGTCCCTGTCTAACTCTCTCACAAATACCAGACTGATCTTTTTCTCAGGTTGTGTTGCCCAAGTCTTTCTTGTTGTCACCTTGGCAGATGCAGAGCTGGCTTTTCTAACGGTGATGGCATATGACCGCTATGTTGCAGTCTGCCTTCCTTTACATTACAGGATAATCATGAACAGAGATGCCTGTGCCCAGATGGCTGGTTGCTGTTGGTTCATCAGTTTGTTGTACTCTGTGCTGCACACTGGGAACACTTTCACGCTGCATTTCTGTCAATCCAATATTATTGGCCAGTTCTTCTGTGATATCTCACAATTGCTGAAGATCTCCTGCTCCAATACACAGCCTAATGATATTTTGATTATTGTCCTAACTGCTGTCTTAGGAGGAACCTGCTTTGCTTTAATAGTGGTGTCCTACAGCCACATTTTCTTGACTGTCTTGCATATACCCTCCACCCAGGGGAAGCGTAAAGCTTTCTCCACATGCGTTCCACACCTCACTGTGTTCTGTTTATTCCTCGGCACTGCTACATTTACATACACACAGCCAAGGTCAGCTTCCTCCTTGACTAAGGACCTCCTGGCTGCAGTTCTCTATTCTGTAATCCCCCCAGTCCTGAATCCCATCATTTACAGCCTGAGAAACAAGGAGATAAAAGAGGCTTTGAGCAAATTACTTGGCAGGACCATTTCTTTTACCAAAGAAATGAATTCTTGTCTTTGACATATTACCAGGGATCCTGGTTTTCTCTGATTAAGAAAAAAAATCCCCAATTTTTGGGTTAAAAAAGTCATCCAAAATCCATATTTTTCCATGATCAAAATGAAACACCACTATGTGTGTGTGTGTATGTATATGTATGTACAGGTATTTATGTATGTATGTATGTATGTATATATGTATTAGTGGCATTACATTTTAATCATGGAAAAATGTGCATTTTGGGTTACTTTTTTCACTCAAATATTGTGGATTTTTTTAATCAGCAAAAACCAGGATTACTCGCATATGGTGAGGTGGAACTCCTGAGGTCAGATCCTATTTTTTGTTTCATAACTAGAATACACCTTTTCCCAAGTTAGAAGGAATTCTGGTAACCCCCAACCTATTATTCTAATAATCACCTGGAGGCGGGGGATCACCATCCACTTATGCCATTTTAAGCTTCATTTAAACTTTAGTGGTTTCATATGTTGATAAGGACTTACAGTGAGAGGCACACGAACCCCATTTCTTTTAAGGTACTGCTTTTAATTTACACGTTTTCTTGAATGAGAAAAGAAATGGAACCTACTTTTAACCTTCTGGCAGTGCCCACACAGAATACAGATTAAACTAATAAAAATGTATTTCAATATTATTTAGGAGAAAAGTTCAAATGGTTTGTTGTTTTTTTTCATAAAAACACTTTTTTGTACCTTAGCTATAAGCATTTCAGTTCGGGGGAATGAAGCTTTTATGTAAGACTATTTCCAGGTTTCAGGTCACTACTGGCCAGTACTAAACTAAAATTGATTAGAATGTTACAACATGAAGTTCAAAGTGAAATTTACCCCATACTCATGTCTTACAAAAGGCCTATATGTCATGTCCATGCTACTGAAATTCAAGATGTTTGGCTCAGGTGGGATTGAAATAGACTATAGGCCTTGAATCTCTCAGTGTTCACCACCATCTGAAGATATATAGTTGCTAATTTTTGTAAATTTGTAGCAAAATGTTAGTTAAAAAGGGAGTGGCATAACCACTACTTGCTACTGTCAATGTAGCATAATGAAAATATCCGACAATTATTGTAAGCTGTACCCGACTCTGTTCCACCAGGAGTTCGCGCGCCGCCTTCGCCCGGACCCGATGTTTTGCACACCCGGGCTTCGTTCGTAGTGCCCAGGTTTTGCCCCGCCTGGTATAAAGGGAGACCCCAGAACTCGCCTGCCACGACTTTGATGACTCTTTCAGTGGGGGGTCTTCCCTCGGGGCATCCCCCGGTGCTTGCGTGCTTCCTCGCGGGAACTCTCGGGGCTCCGTCCTCCCCTACACCCCGGCCATACGCCCCCTCAGGTCTTCCTATTCTGGCCCCCAATCCGTCCTTGCCTCGCGCTCTCTTGGTTCGGACCCGCTGGTGACTACCAGTGGTCTTCGGACCGGTCGTGCCTCTCCCCGTAAGGATGCCAGCTTACGCTCCCCTTTCTTGGGCTGCAGATGTCTGTTCTGCTCTCCCAATAGTTCTCGCCCCAGTTACCCGTGCCGTCGGCTCTATAGCGTGGAGTATCGTTGGCCCCACTCTCGGCGCCGTCGTCGCCCCTCCGGCCGTCTCGGGTGGCAGGTTCCCCGCTGGCAGCTGCCCCCTTCACGAGGCTGACCTCTCCCCTCCTTGTCCCGCTCCCGGGTGCTGCACTGCGTTGCTCCCAGCTGGTTCTGCCGTGTGACTCGCAGCCTGCTCCGCCTCTGCTCGGCGTCGTCCCGCACTCCGTAGGTGCTCCGCTGCGTTGCTCGCAGCCTACCCTGCTGCGCTGCTCGCAGCCTATTCCGCCTCTGCTTGGCGTCGCCCCGCACTCCGCAGGTGCTCCGCTGCGTGGCTCGCAGCCTGCTCTGCTGCACTGCTCGCAGCTTGCTCCACCTCTGCTCGGCGTTGCCCCGCACTCCGCAGGTGCTCCTCTGCGTTGCTCGCAGCCTGCTCTGCTGCACTGCTCGCAGCTTGCTCCACCTCTGCTCGGCGTTGCCCCGCACTCCGCAGGTGCTCCTCTGCGTTGCTCGCAGCCTGCTCTGCTGCACTGCTCGCAGCTTGCTCCACCTCTGCTCGGCGTTGCCCCGCACTCCGCAGGTGCTCCTCTGCGTTGC